GACCACCCTGGGCATCTCGCAGACCAATCTGGGCATCTGGCAGACCAATCTGGGCATCTCGCAGACCACTCTGGGCATCTCGCAGACCACTCTGGGCATCTCGCAGACCACTCTGGGCATCTCGCAGACCACTCTGGGCATCTCGCAGACCACTCTGGGCATCTCGCAGACCACTCTGGGCATCTCGCAGACCACTCTGGGCATTTCGCAGACCACTCTGGGCATCTCGCAGACCACTCTGAGCATCTCGCAGACCACTCTGGGCATCTCGCAGACCACTCTGGGCATCTCGCAGACCACTCTGAGCATCCCGCAGACCACTCTGGGCATCTCGCAGACCACTCTGGGCATCTCGCAGACCACTCTGGGCATCTCGCAGACCACTCTGGGCATCTCGCAGACCACTCTCGGCGAGTTTATGCGGTCCATTACAGACTGACTGATTCTTTGGCTCTGCTCCCTGGTGAATTTGCCTTGTTCGGTAATCACATCATGTCCACTGTGACTGTCCTCAGTCGGATATGTGACGATAAACCTACGTAGTGGGCATGCACAAACGTGAAAGACATTCTCTTTGTGATTCTGCAGAGCTACGTACATACCACATACAACTGAGTTTATTGGCCTACATACCTTACATGGCAAGTGCGGCACTCATACATGACCCACCAATCACAGTACTCAATCGATTACTTTCTCACTATGACATAATAAGTTATTATAAATATTATTATAACTCACCGCTCGCACACATTGAGTTTGGACAGGTCCCCAGCATTGAGAGCAGCCGAAATAGACATCTTAAAATCCTACACTTTACCCCCCTTCGCTTTCGCCAAAGCAGAAGCAGAAAGGCCAGTTGAGTCAACCGAATATTCAGGCAGTCGCAGAATGCGACGAATGTTGCACGATGCCTCACATCCAATTTTTCTTGTCCCTATAAGAATTACAGCAGGGCATACCACAGTGATATCAACATGCAAGTATAAACTCGGTGCATCACAGCTGGATAGTGGCAAAGAGTGTTTATTCGTACATTTGTACATTTGCACTGCAGCACTCCCAGCACTGGGTATACAGTACTAGCAGTCAAGAAGGAAAGAAACGATGTCTCCGTCTTTATCTCTATTCATTATCATTCTGAAGAAGACAACCGTCGAATCGCTAAAACATTAGTATCAATCAGTCAAGTATTGCTTGTCTCTCTCTCTCTCTCTCTCTCTCTCTCTCTCTCTCTCTCTTTCTGCAGTTGACATGATAACATGTAGAGCAATAATTTAAAAAACCGATGGCTAATTTGCAGCAATGGGCACCGCAAAGATAACCATGACTCTGGTTATGCTTCTCACCTTGGAGTTTAATCCTCTTCTTCTTAACAGCTGAGGCTCTGGGGTAAGCATGATCAACAGATGCTGAACTGGTTACATCGCTAGAGGACTTGACTTTGTGGCTTGACTTTGTGGTGTGGCACCTGTAATGTTACCGACACAACAACACTTGGTCACTGACAAAATAATGTGATGCAAAGGAATCAAGAGATGGTACAACTGTTCTCACTGGCAACTAGCAACTGCATGAAATAGATCACATTCAGGTTCTACCTGTCCATTTAATTCCAATACCTGTGCTTCCCAAATTGTCATTCTGGTAAAGCCACAGGAGATGAACGGAACTCCACCAAAAGGAATCTGTGCACAGCGCGCGCCACGTTTATGGCTCCATATGAAGGCCTTTGGACGCGGAATAGCCTCCTTCAAGATCTCTTCAACACTGCAACATTTGTGCACATAGCACACATACATAGCACACATACATGATTGGAAATTTTTATTTTCATTGCTATCAGGTTCGGCCTCATTTTCTCTGTGCTGCGCTGATGAGTTCAAAAAGAACGAAACAGCATGCTGTCCGCAGATTGAGTATTTCGCTCCTGCTCTTGTAGCAGTTGAGCACTCTCATGTGGGGTAGTGCCTTCGCTGTTTGCGTTATGCAGAGCTCACTGACTTGTCAGTTGGAGCACTCTGGCAAGGTACGTTCGGGCCTGATTGGAAATTTTTATTTTCATTGCTATCAGGTTCGGCCTCATTTTCTCTGTGCTGCGCTGATGAGTTCAAAAAGAACGAAACAGCATACTGTCCGCAGATTGAGTATTTCGCTCCTGCTCTTGTAGCAGTTGAGCACTCTTGCGTGGGGTAGTGCCTTTGCTGTTTGCGTTATGCAGAGCTCACTGACTTGTCAGTTTGAGCACTCTGGCAAGGTACGTTCGGGCCTGATTGGAAATTTTTATTTTCATTGTTATCAAGTTCGGCCTCATTTTCTCTGTGCTGCGCTGATGAGTTCAAAAAGAACGAAACAGCATACTGTCCGCAGATTGAGTATTTCGCTCCTGCTCTTGTAGCAGTTGAGCACTCTTGCGTGGGGTAGTGCCTTTGCTGTTTGCGTTATGCAGAGCTCACTGACTTGTCAGTTTGAGCACTCTGGCAAGGTACGTTCGGGCCTGATTGGAAATTTTTATTTTCATTGTTATCAAGTTCGGCCTCATTTTCTCTGTGCTGCGCTGATGAGTTCAAAAAGAACGAAACAGCATGCTGTCCGCAGATTGAGTATTTCGTTCCTGCTCTTGTAGCAGTTGAGCACTCTTGCGTGGGGTAGTGCCTTTGCTGTTTGCGTTATGCAGAGCTCACTGACTTGTTAGTTTGAGCACTCTGGCAAAGTACGTTCGGGCCTGATTGGAAATTTTTATTTTCATTGCTATCAGGTTCGGCCTCATTTTCTCTGTGCTGCGCTGATGAGTTCAAAAAGAACGAAACAGCATGCTGTCCGCAGATTGAGTATTTCGCTCCTGCTCTTGTAGCAGTTGAGCACTCTTGCGTGGAGTAGTGCCTTTGCTGTTTGCGTTATGCAGAGCTCACTGACTTGTCAGTTTGAGCACTCTGGCAAGGTACGTTCGGGCCTGATTGGAAATTTTTATTTTCATTGCTATCAGGTTCGGCCTCATTTTCTCTGTGCTGCGCTGATGAGTTCAAAAAGAACGAAACAGCATGCTGTCCGCAGATTGAGTATTTCGCTCCTGCTCTTGTAGCAGTTGAGCACTCTTGCGTGGGGTAGTGCCTTTGCTGTTTGCGTTATGCAGAGCTCACTGACTTGTCAGTTTGAGCACTCTGGCAAGGTACGTTCGGGCCTGATTGGAAATTTTTATTTTCATTGCTATCAGGTTCGGCCTCATTTTCTCTGTGCTGCGCTGATGAGTTCAAAAAGAACGAAACAGCATGCTGTCCGCAGATTGAGTAGCACACATACATGTAGAAGACGTTATATTAATTATACCAGCACTCATTAACGACTCGGCTATGTACACTGCAACGATATGTGTGGGAATATGGTTGATGTGAGGCCCCTTGTAACGTGGAGCAGAACGTTATGTGGGATTGCTGCAGTGAATATCAAAATGTTATAATCCTTCAGTTCTTTGTGAGTGTGAATGCGTTTACGTGTATCCGCTAGCAGGGCTGTAACCATGGTAACGCACTGTACACTACTGTAGGGCAATGCACACTAGATATTCTTCTCTTCAAAACCTATCAATTAAACTACTCACTGCTCCTTTGGAACCAACATAAACACGACGAAGCTTCGAAGACAGCATTTTGTTGCTCTGTTTTGGTGGGTCTTACCCGTTTGAAAACGGTTTTTCTGTGGTCCTTGTTACAAAGCTAGCACGCGGTAGGGCAACTTTCAGGAAATCCTTCCATTCCTCCGCTCCATCTAATAATTCTAACCTCGTTTGCCGTGATGATATCGGATCATGATGAGGACAAAAAAAAACAAAACAAAAACGTGTCCATCTACCAATGATCTACAAAAACAAAAACAAAAACTGTTACTGCAACTGTTCCTCCCTTCCCGCCGCAGTGCTTTCTTTCCACTGACAATTCTATGTGAGTGTCAATGCAGGTCATTGTGTATTGTACTTGTACTTGTAGTACAAAACTCATGTATGTGTACGCGAATGCAAGCTAAATCTGTCCGACCCTGCAATGGCCACGACCAAGTGTCCCAACGAGAAAGTAGCGCCCGAAAAAAATAACGCCAGAGAAAGTAGCGAAGGAGAAAGTAGCGCCGGAGAAAAGAGCGCCGGATAAAATAGCGCTGGAGAAAGTCGCGCCAGAGAAAGTAGCGCCGGAGAAAGTAAAGTCGGAGAAAGTAGCGCCGGAGAAAGTGGAGTCGGAGAAAGTAGCGCCGGAGAAAGTAGAGCGGGAGAAAGTAGCGTCGGAGAAAGTAGCGCCAGAGAAAGTACTACCGGAGAAAGTAGCAAGAAAGTAGAGCCGGAGAAAGTAGTGCCGGAGAAAGTAGCGCCGGAGAAAGTATAACCGGAGAAATTGGCGCCGGAGAAAGTAGGGTCGGAGAAAGTAGAGCTGGAGAAAGTAGCGCCGGAGAAAGTAGAGTCGGAGAAAGTAGCGCCGGAGAAAGTAGCACGGGAGAAAGTAGCACCGGAGAAAGTAGCGCCGGAGAAAGTAGCGCCGGAGAAAGTACCACCGGAGAAAGTAGCGCTGGATCATGTGACCATAAATTATCACGTGATATGGATCATGTCACCATAATTATCATGTGACATGAGTCATATGACTATGTCATGTGATACGAATCATGTGACCATACCATTGAAACATGGCATGTGACCATATCATGGACGTTTCAAGGGGGATTGACCGCTCTGGATAGCACGAGTACACATGCATGCATGTGTGTGCACACATGCACACACAATGAAAAAATATGAGATTCCTTGCCAGCAAGGATAATACAGATCTGGTAATCCTGTAATCTGGCATTGTCACATACCCTGGCATGCATACACACCCTGCAACAACTAGAACAAAATGACTTATAAAAAATTCTTGAAAAGAGATCTGGCTCTCCGGCCAAAGGCCAGTATGAGAGCAAGAACTTATAACTTGGTGCACAGTGGTCATACACACTGAGATGGTAGGAGTAAAAAAGTATAACACCGTCCTGTGTTTACTCTGGCTGGTATGCACAAGGCGAGTGTCAGACAGAACATTGACGTCATGTACAATAACTTATACGGAAACTGTGCAGTTGAACAAGTGACTAAGCACTACTTGTACTGGTGACGGTCAGGGAAAACCTTGTTCTTCTCCGGCGGTACAATGGCAGCGGTCTTGGCAATGTCGTCAGTGCTCAGCTTCACCTTCTCAAACTGCAAGTTCAGCGTCATGTGGTCCGGATTGCGGGTCCCCCGGTTAGCCACCACGCCGTGGGCCAGCTCCCAGGCCAGCAGCACCTGACTGGGATCGGCACTGTGTACTTGAACGATCTAAAAATACAAACAAACATAATATAATACTCATAAAAAGGACACACTTCAGGCTCATTACAAACATCTTGAAAGTTTTTGTCACTTGTGAAGACAAAAACTTTCAAGATGTTTGTAATGAGCCTGAAGTGTGTCCTTTTTATGAGTATTATCGCATTTTTGTCTCAGAGGAAACTGTAAACATAATATACAGCACAGATTGCTCATTCTGCGCACAGAATTGTTTCGTACTCAGCTAACCAGTATAACTACCCAGCTAACCAGTATGACTACTCAGCTTACCAGTATAACTACCCAGCTAACCAGTATAACTACCCAGCTAACCAGTACAACTACCCAGCTAACCAGTATAACTACCCAGCTAACCAGTATAATTACCCAGCTAACCAGTATAACTACCCAGCTAACCAGTATGATTACCCAGCTAACCAGTATAACTACCCAGCTAACCAGTATAACTACCCAGCTAACCAGTATAACTACCCAGCTAACCAGTATAACTACCCAGCTAACCAGTATGATCACCCAGCTAACCAGTATAACTACCCAGCTTACCAGTATAACTACCCAGCTAACCAGTATAACTACCCACCTAACCAGTATATGTACCCAGCTAACCAGTATAACTACCCAGCTAACCAGTATAACTACCCAGCTAACCAGTATAACTACCCATCTAACCAGTATGACTACCCAGCTAACCAGTATGACTACCCAGCTAACCAGTATAACTACCCAGCTAACCAGTATAACTACCCAGCTAACCAGTATGACTACCCAGCTAACCAGTATAACTACCCAGCTAACCAGTATAACTACCCAGCTAACCAGTATAACTACCCAGCTAACCAGTATAACTACCCAGCTAACCAGTATAACTACCCAGCTAACCAGTATGACTATAATTATTAGGACAGGCAGCATAAATGCTTAACATTCCGGTATGACTGCGCAGACAGCCAATACGACTGCTCAGTCAACCAGTATGAATGCTCAAACACTACGGCAAACATGACTGCTCAGACAGCCAGCATAGCTGCTCAGTCAGCCAGCATGACTGCTCGACCAGCCAGTATGACTGCTTGATCAACCAGCATGACTGCTCAAACAGCCAGCACGACCGCTCAGCCAGCCAGCACACCTTGGACACTGCTTTGCTCCTACTGTATATGCGAGGATTCCTTTCTTGTCGGGATATGTGTTAGGTGAGATCAGATTGATGATCACAGCAAACATGTTATCATCCAGGGCAATACAACAAACCCATGTACACGTTCGGGGCTGCAGTCAATACAACAAACCCATGTACACGTGAGGGGATGCAGTCAATACAACAAACCCATGTACACGTTCGGGGATGCAGTCAAAGCCACACCGTTGGGCACTTCCCCATATCTATTTTCTCTTGCACGCTTTCAAAGTAGAAAGCAACAGTGCAGAATGCATGGCTCAATTAGCCATCACCTCATCACTCCATCTCCCTGATCTCACTATGCAAGACACATAACACACATGCAGAACTAAGCAGTGCACTGGTATGATGATTTGTTTGGATAGGTGAGTAGAAATGCATGAGTATTATCATCCTGTGTTTTATATGTGGAACCCTCAAGACAACTGCAACTACACTCATCCCTCGTTTATCCGAGTGGTCCGGGACCGGACACTGCCCGTAACTTTGAAATGTCCGTAACTCCGAATATTTCAATGGGGAAGGGCCAAAGATTTGCCCTATAATGTAACTATTTACACAAAAAGGGACAAAAAAGTAGTAATATTTCCACTAAAACTCACTGAAAGAGTACCCGGCAGACTGAAGTGCCCGTGACCTTGGTGTCTGGAAAACAGAGGTATGAGTGTACGAATGAGTGTTCTCCTGTTCCCATGTGCCACTTCAGCTGCGTAGAAAAGACGAGCACACTAGCCTTACCTGCATGACAACGAGTGCTTGGAGCGTCGAGTGTGACCAGCCGTGTGTCGAAGGGGCGTAGTCTGGGCAGCTCATTGGAGTGTAGCCGTTGAAGGTGATGTTGCGCTCTTGACAGAACTTAATCAAGTCGTTCTCATGACAGTATGGGTGATACTCAACCTGATCAACAAATAGAACAAAAACACACAAAAACACACACAAATTGAAGTCAATACGGGATACCATGATCCTTCAAATTGCCCAAGTGAGAGTTTCCAAGCTAGAACAAAAGTCTGGATACAATTTTACACCAGTTTTCGAAATGCTTCTGAAAAATAAGTGAGAATCTGCCAATGTACATTGTGCTAGTATCTACATGCACTGTTACAGGAGTTACCTACAACAGACTGGAAAATAGTTCCTTCCATCTCTCTCTCTCTATCTCTCTCTCTCTCTCTCTATCTATCTCTCTATATCTCTCTCTCTCTCTCTCTCTCTCTCTCTCTCTCTCTCTCTCTCTATCTCTCTATCTCCCTATCTCCCTATCTCCCTATCTCCCTATCTCTCTATCTCTCTATCTGTCTCTCTGTCTCTCTATCTTCCTCTTTGTCTCTCTCTCTTTCTTTCTCTCTGTGTATCTCTCTCTCTTTCTGTCTCTGTCTCTCCGTCTCTCTCTCTCTCTCTCTTTGTCTCTCTCTCTCTCTCTCTCTCTTTCTCTCTTTTTCTCTCACTCTCTCACTCTCTCACTCTCTGTCTCTCTGTCTCTCTCTGTCTCTCTCTCTCTCTCTCTCTCTCTCTCTCTCTCTCTCTCTCTCTCTCTCTCTCTCTCTCTCTCTCTCTTATCACTCAGACACCAAGACAATGTGCAACTAACCTGGTTGAGTAAAGGTAGCAACTCTTTCATATCAATGATGTCCTGACGATGATTTTGCTCATAATTTGACATCCGATTGCTGTAGTCGAGCCTGAGATAAAAAGAAGAGCGAATGAACGACACATAAAGCAAAATATCTAAAGATAGCTGGAAACAGAGAGAGAGAACGTTAGGGAGAAATACTAAGACAAGCAGTGAAAAAGAGCAATAAGAAGATGCACAGAGAGAGAGAAAGGGGGAGAGAGAGAGAGAGAGAGAGAGAGTAAGTTACATTTATAAAGACAGGTAAGTCTAACAAATGAGGACGGAGACCTCTACAACAGGGTTTTTACGCCTGAAAGCAGGTGCATGATTTAACAAGCAGGTTGTCAGTCTAGATTTTATGCGCAGAGGGAGAAAAAGCGCAGAATTTGTGTAATGAGATGAAAAGCAGAAATAATAAGAAATAATAAGAAAAGATGAAATGAAAGCCTGCTCACAACCCCGCCCAGCCTTGCAAACTGGGTATGGTGGATTAAGAACCCGGTTCAACGCTCGAGCAAGCGCTCTCCACTCAAGGTGTACACAGCAACAGATAAGAACTCATATGGGGAAATTATAGAAAAGAAATAATAAGATAAAGAGAACCAAAGCATATTGCCTCTGTGTAAGATAAAGAGAATAAATTTCAACGCACATACAGTACCTCAGAAAAGTGGATCTTCCGACCAGTGTTTTTGTTGACGTCGCAACCAGATGATGTAGCTGCTTCGCAGAGACGTCTTACTGCACAAATTACAAATAAATTTTATTCTTCGATCAGAAAACCCAAGCGCTTTCAGAGCCCTCCGAAGAGAGTCCGGGATGAAACCACGCACACCTACCTCAACCGAAAGAGAGAGAGAGAGAGAGAGAGAGAGAGACAGCGAGGGAAGGAGAGAAAGAGAGAGAGAGAGAGAGAGAGAGAGAGAGAGAGATAGAGAGAGAGAGAAAGAGAGAGGGAGGGAGAGCGAAAACGAGAGCGAGCGAGAGAGAGAGAGAGAGAGAGAGAGAGAGAGAGAGAGAGAGAGAGTGAGAGTGAGAGTGAGAGTGAGAGTGAGAGTGAGAGTGAGAGAGAGAGAGAGAGAGAGAGAGGGAGGGAGAGAGAGAGAGAGAGAGAGCGAGGCAGAGGGGTAGAGATATACAGAGAGAAAGACAAAAGAACAGAAAGAGAGACACACCAACTGTCACACAGCAAAGACAGATAGACTTACATGAACACAAATAGGCATAGGTTTATTAAAACAGGCAGAGACAAGTTGACCAGTATACTGTAGTTTGCACAGACAATCCGACAGACACTGTTTTCTGTTGCTTTCATTCACCTTGTTTGAACATGTCCTGCAGAGCTTTCCATGTTTGCTGGCGACAAGTTGAATGTGGCTGGCTGACCTTGCCAAGCTGGATCTTTACTCTTGCCAGGTGGTCTAGGCCAGTGTATGAGAAGCAGATCAACGTACTTCATCTGCCACAGGAACACAAGTTTTGGAATTGATGCACACACGTACGAACAGACATACATGACTGTTACTATTCCTGTAGCTATGCAGAAGACGTTACTTCAGTAACGTCTGGCGCTAGCCAGGGTCCACACAGCTTTAATTTGGTGTTTGTTTGTGTGTTCGTTTGTGCCACGCCTGGCGCTATCCGTATCTGACGGCAAAAAGCATGGGATGTTATAAATGTTTCAATTCTCCTTTTTTTTCAGGCATATCCTGGGATTCGAACCCGCACTATCGCCCTACATGCATTCCCCCATACACTTCGCATTCATACCCATTCTTCCAAGTTGCTTTACGTTATTATCTTGCGTTTGAAAGCCCTATTTGAATATTACGGGCAGCTGTATGTGGCCAGCTGTGTTTGATGGTACGGTACGGTACGGGAGACGGTGTCGTATTACCCTCGATCGTACCTGTCCCGTACCTATCCCTACCGTACCGTGCCATCAAAGACGGCTGGCCACAATGCATATTCAAATAGGGCTTTCAAATGCAAGATCACAATGTGAAACAACTTGGAAGACTTAGTATGTATGCGAAGTGTATCGGGGGATGCATGCAGGGCGCGCGATAGTGCGGGTTCGAATCCCAGGTTATGTCTTAAAACAAGGATTTTTTTAAAGAATTTATAACATCCCTATGCTTTTTTTTGTCAAGATCATCAAGGCAAAAAGGCATAGCGTAGGTCCCTGAGCTTCCAAGCTCTCTCGTACATACATACAGACAAACAAACAAACAAACAGACAGATAGACAGACAAACAAACAAACAAACAGACAAACAAACAAACAAACAAACAGACAAAAAACAAACAAACAGACAAACAAACAAACAGACAGACAAACAGACAAACAAACAGACAAACAGACAGACAGACAGACAAACAGATAGACATACAGGCAGACAGAATAAACAGACAAACAGACAGACAGACAGACAGACAGACTGACAGACAGACAGACAAACAAACAGACAAACAAACAGACAGACAAACAGACAGACAGACAGACAGACAAACAGACAGACAGACAGACAGACAAACAGACAGACAGACAGACAGACAGACAGACAGACAGACATGCAGACAAACAGACAGACAGATAGACCGGCCGATAGACAGACAGACAGACAGATATACAGACAGACAGATAGACAGAGAGACAGTGAGACAGACAGACAAACAGACCGACAGACAGACTAACAAACAGATAGACAGACAGACAGACAGACAGACAGACAGACAGACAGACAGACAGACAGACAGACAGACAGACAGACAGACAGACAGACAGACAGACAGACAGACAGACAGACAGACAGACAGACAGACAGACAGACAGACAGACAGACAGACAGACAGACAGACAGACAGACAGACAGACAGACAGACAGACAGACAGACAGACAGACAGACAGACAGACAGACAGACAGACAGACAGACAGACAGACAGACAGACAGACAGACAGACAGACAGACAGACAGACAGACAGACAGACAGACAGACAGACAGACAGACAGACAGACAGACAGACAGACAGACAGACAGACAGACAGACAGACAGACAGACAGACAGACAGACAGACAGACAGACAGACAGACAGACAGACAGACAGACAGACAGACAGACAGACAGACAGACAGACAGACAGACAGACAGACAGACAGACAGACAGACAGACAGACAGACAGACAGACAGACAGACAGACAGACAGACAGACAGACAGACAGACAGACAGACAGACAGACAGACAGACAGACAGACAGACAGACAGACAGACAGACAGACAGACAGACAGACAGACAGACAGACAGACAGACAGACAGACAGACAGACAGACAGACAGACAGACAGACAGACAGACAGACAGACAGACAGACAGACAGACAGACAGACAGACAGACAGACAGACAGACAGACAGACAGACAGACAGACAGACAGACAGACAGACAGACAGACAGAAAGGCAGGCCGGCAGGCAGGCAGGCAGGCAGGCAGGCAGGCAGGCAGGCAGGCAGGCAGACAGACAGACAGACAGACGGACAGACATCTGGAAGAAGATTGCTTTCCACTCGATGACATGCCAACAAATGTCTAGCAACAAGATTTGCGTTAAAAATCACAGCCGTAGATAGGCGAATCACACTAAGGGGCCATCTGTAAATACATGTATTTACTTCGAGACGTCTAAGAGGCGTTTCTGGTGCGTGGGTTCGCCTGCAAGGCGTTTCTAAAAAATACATTTCGGAGTGCATGCATACCAAACTACGCGTGTACATGGTGTCATATGCATTTTAGTACATGACGTAGCAGCACTGCTATAGCTACAGCTACATGTAGTACATGTAGTACATGTACTACATGTACTACATGTACTACATGTAGTTCATGTAGTACATGTAGTACCAAGAAGGGTATACTCTTGCTATAAAGAATGGAGGTGGGAAACAGGATACTCGGCATTGGTTTGAAGTTCAACTCTGAACTGCAAACGACAAGGGTTCCCTATCACGAAATTCGCTATAATGCGAGTTTGTTATAAGTGCAGTCGGCTGTACTATAATTATGTGTTCATAGTGTTAACTGGTTTGATGGTGTCTATTATTAGTAGTGGTATTATCTGCATTTTTAGGGGGCGTTTCTGGGGGTGGGTGGGTGAGTCAAGAAAGAAACGCCTTTTAGACGTCTCTAAGTAAATACATGTATTTACGGACGGCCCCTAACAGGTGAAACGTTTAGAATCAGCTAAATACTGCTATGAAGAGTAGATAAACAAGAGTGTGCAACTCCCGGATGGGTTGGCCCACGGTGGAATTTTTGGTTGACGCAATCCTTTCTATGACGCACACTCTGCAAGTCTTTTGGGAAGTTTTGCCTCACGCACTTGGCCGGCTATACATTACAAGGTCGGTGCCCAGCACGTGCTCTCGCACTGCTCTGCGGCAAAATGATCGTGCTCTGTACCAAGGTGACGTCAACAAAAAATTCTGCCATGGGCCGGGTATCTGCAGATTATGCAGAAGAGATGCGTGGAACACTATTGTTTATCACCTCTTGCTGCTATTTAGTGACCTTGTCATCACACAAAATAACCGACCGACGAACAGACAGAGAAAAAGATATACATGATATAGACAAAAATGTGTCCTCATGCATAATTATAATTAAGAAGTAGTTAACGACGACAAACTGGCACTTAATTTCGATAGAAATAAGTACACAAGGGAAAAGTGACAGGACAATTGCACAGAGGGACAGAACCTATCATGGCTGTCTTCAAAACGTTACCCCGTTACGCTCAGTTCTGTCCCTCTCTGAAATGATCCACTTTTCTCTTATGTCAAAATACGAACACAGAAACATATACCCTTTCCGCAAATATCATAATATTGTTTTTGAGAGAGTTTTGAATTTCAGGGTAGTTTTAGAAAGAAATGCAGGAATGCAAGAGTCTTGTTGGTACGAACGCTGAACAGGATATCATACCTGCTAACCATCCCGATTTTGGCCAGGACCGTCCCGATATCGAGGGTGGCAATTCTCACCCAACAGTGTATTTGCTGCACGCCTCACAACTACACGTACCTAATATGTATGTGCATACATGTAGGTATGCTATTGTCACCATCTCAGCTTTGCAAACGGTTGACAGGTAGGGATGCTATGATCAAGCAGGATTCTTCACTGCAACGTTCCCACTAACTGTGCTCCAGTGCTCTGGATCCAGTGCTGCACATATCACCAATGCCAGCACCGGTACTCCAGTATCACCACTGATACCATCGATACCACCAGCACACGTACATCCATTGCCATCCGCACAAGCACCACCACCAGAGTTGCCAGTAGCACCAAACACTACAGTCATCACCATCATCACAATCATCTGCACAAGCATCACCAGCTCACGTGCTCACTCACTCACTCACTCACTCACTCACTCACTCACCCACTCACTCAATAACTCATTCCTACACTCATTCTCTCTCCAGACCCATCAGTGCATTTTACCTGCAGTGATGATAAAATGGGGCCAATCTGAACCATTGTGTCATTGTAACCCATGGCTGCACCAGGAATCAGACCTCCACTTCCAACCTAAAAAGTAGCCAAGGCCACAAACAAACACAGGCACACCCATACAAAACACATACACACGCACACGCATACATACACACACGCATACAAACACACACACACGCATACACACACACAACACACACACACACGCATACAAACACACCCACACACACACGCATACAAACACATACACACACAAGCGTGCACATGCAAAATAGAGAATAGAGTACAATATGATTAAACGGATGCCGATGGCTACAGCAAGTTGTCATTATTGTTGAACTATGGATTCCAATATGATAGCAAAGATTATCAAGTGAAATTGCCCTATACTGACCAGTGGACCTGAAATCAGCCTCACCCACAAATGACCACTGACCTCTTCTGAATTATTGTGTGGTGCGGGGAGGTGAAGGGAGGGGGGGGGCAGGGGTGATGGGAGAGAGAGAGAGGGGGGAGGGGTGAAGGGAGGGGTGGGGGAAGGTAGTGGGTGATAATTTCCTAACCCATCTGAAATCACCGCCTCCCAACTATATTACAAGACTGAGTGAGTTAAGTCAGGTAGAGGCTGAAGAACACATTGAATGTAGCCAGAAGGAATCAGACAAGGGACCCTCGTTCATGGCCTGCAACACTCTACGACCAAGCTATGGTGTTGTCCGGACTACTCGGTCAGATATGTATTTGGGATAGAGTACATGAGAGCAGGAGTGAGCAGCTGAAAACCGGATTCAGTTGCTTACAACATCCTGGATATATCTTTTACTGATGGCAGTGTGTAGAAGCAGTATTTAAGCAGGTTTCCTACCGCATGACAGCAGCTGCAGCTCAGTTGTACACACTACGCCACTTACCACCATTCATCAGTGTTCGGAAGGCTCAAGCCCGACCCTTTCACAAATACCCCGTTCTCACACACAGTCTTCACACCTAGATCTGAGCTGTTTGAACTGCAAACAAAACTAGGGATTACCATAGAGCAATACCTAACTGTTCTCTAGCAAGGCCTCTACTCAATCAACAACGTATGAGATACAAACTAAAGAACTTATACAGAATCTAACAAGGACTCTGGCAAGGGGGCCAGCTAGGAAGCTTCAGCTGGTGTCTATTGCGGGAAACAAGCAGCAGGCAGCAAAACAGCTAAAGAGAGTATGTGAAAGTGTAGCAAGCAAGCTGGAAATGCCATTGATTAATCGCAGCACACCTCACTGCTACAAAGGAAGCATTGGAGCATGAAACTGATATTGCAGTGAAGATAAGTCCATACAACTGCACAAGGACCTCTTGCAAATGAAGCATAGCGGCACCAGTATTGTATTCTGGAAACAATGAAGACTTCATATAAGTAGTGGTGGTATAAGTACTCTCCAGTGTGTAGTGGCGCCATGCAAGGATCATGGAAGAATAATCGTAAAAGTAGGAAGTACTGTATTCTTCTAAACATCCTCCCCTTCCTTGATTAACCCGCCATTAATCAACCTCTACGCTGCTATTATGATACTGTACATACTGTAAGTTGTTGTTGCAACAAGCAATGACATTGTGCTGTGAGATTGTATAATCTACTACTACTACTACTACTACTACTACTACTACTACTACTACTACTACTACTACTACTACTACTACTACTACTACTACTACTACTACTACTACTACTACTACTACTACTACTACTACTACTACTACTACTACTACTACTACTACTACTACTACTACTACTACTACTACTACTACTACTACTACTACTACTACTACTACTACTACTACTACTACTACTACTACTACTACTACTACTACTACTACTACTACTACTACTACTACTACTACTACTACTACTACTACTACTACTACTACTACTACTACTACTACTACTACTACTACTACTACTACTACTACTACTACTACTACTACTACTACTACTACTACTACTACTACTACTACTACTACTACTACTACTACTACTACTACTACTACTACTACTACTACTACTACTACTACTACTACTACTACTACTACTACTACTACTACTACTACTACTACTACTACTACTACTACTACTACTACTACTACTACTACTACTACTACTACTACTACTACTACTACTACTACTACTACTACTACTACTACTACTACTACTACTACTACTACTACTACTACTACTACTACTACTACTACTACTACTACTACTACTAGCACTACTAGCACTACTACTACTACTACTACTACTACTACTACTACTAGCACTGAGCAAAACATTTCAGTCATTACAGTGCTTACAGTGATTCTTCCTCTACGATCGGGCAAACTCTCGTGATAGGTCGGGTGAAGACTTTGGAGCCCACTTGGACACGCACAACTCTAACATTGCCATCCGATCCTGGCATGACCTCCACAATGCGACCGATGGGCCACTGGCCGCGTGGCGTGGCTGAAGCGACAACAACGACAGCATCGCCAATCTTCATATTCTTCTGTTGTGTTCGCCACTGCTGTCTGGAATTCAGAGCTGGCACGAGTTCCTTCATCCACCGTTGCCAGCTGTTCTTGATCATGTTCTGCACGTATAGCCACCGACGAGTATGTATAATATACATAATAATAATAATACCACAGCACGCACAAAAATACCACAGCACGCATAATAATAATAATAAAAATAATAATAATAATAATAATAATAATAATAATAATAATAATAATAATAATAATAATAATACAGCACGTGAGCAAAGAACAGAGAACAATGCATGGGAATAAACTGTAATTAAGCCAAGTCCGCTTCTGTCTCCAGTCAACAAAAACTCATCAATAAACAATGTCTGATCTCCATTTCGACTTGTCTGCAGCAAATGCTCGTGCTCCTTCTAGGTCGCTGGCATTCTTCGAAGGAATGTCGTGCCCTGTCAGGTCCTTCATGATGGTGGTAGGGAGAGTAGCCGCGGGACGGCCCCTTCGTCCACGTGACCCCGCTTGAAAATAGCAGGACATCGCAAGGCAAGGGGATGACTGCTCACTCATCCTCAGCACATGGCCGAGGATGGACGAGTATGTATGTAAGTGTGTTTTTATTTGAATTCGCAAGTACACACGGGCTACGAGCCCAATTACATGGAAGCGAATGTGATAATGAGGTTAATTAAGCAAAAGGGTGGAGGAAGGAGGAGGACGGTAGCAAAGCAAAAGGGAGGACAATTCAGGAGCAAAATTAACAATTGCACAAATGAGAGTACCTGAGACTGAGAGTACCTGTGGAGCGATAAAATGCTAAAGCAAACGAGTGGGGCTGAAATCAGTCGCATCCACTTCTGGGGCAAAGCTTCCACCAGCCATGCCTATGACGACGTGGTTTGGTGTCAGTGGGATGTCGTCACGTGGATCAGACGACACGTACGAGAGCGGACGAGAGTTGAGCAAACCTTCTACTCCAACAAACGCTGTCTGGAGTTCTTCATCTGTCACATCTGCATTCTGGAGGAGGGCACGAAGGGCTCGTTTTGCCGATTTTACCATAGCTTCGTGAACACCTCCAAAATGTGGTGCAAGTGGAGGATTGAAGGACCAGTGGATACCATTGTTGGCTGCTTTCTGAGCAATCTTCTCTTCGTCAAACTGGTTGATCAACTCTTGTAGTTCCCGCTGTGCACCGACAAAATTCGTACCATTGTCCGACCGCACATGTGTTGGCACTCCTCTTCTGCTGCAGAAACGCTCGAATGCGTTCAGGAAGCAGTCTGTTGCTAGCAAAGTAGCCATTTCTAGATGCACTGCACGACTGGTCACACACGTGAACAGACAGAGATACTACTTAGCACGACGCTGACCACGACCTTGCTTTGTCTCGAAGGGGCCAGCGTAGTCAACAGATGTTCTTGCGAAGGCTTCCAACGGTTCTGACAGTCGGCTCTTCGGCAGTGGTGCCATCACTTGTGTTGCTGGCCTAGATTTCTTTCGCTTACAATAATTGCAGGCTGCCTCTATCTCGTGGCCGGGATCACCTCTCTTGCTGCTATAACCCAGAAACGTTCCTGCAGTTGTGTCATGGTTTCCTTGACGCCACTGCGGTGTGCTGCCTTCCCGTGATAATGTCGGACTAGAACTTGCATGGCATGTCCGTTCCGAGCCATGATCATTGGATGTTGAGCATCATACGACAGGAATTGCACATTTTGTAGGCGTCCTCGTATTCGTAGAATGCCCAATTCGTCCAGGAATGGGGAGAGACCCGCCAACTTGCTGCCTGTTGGGACCGCTTTTCCTTTCCGGACTAACTCGTACTTTGCTGGAAATGCTTCCATAAAAGCAGCTTTTAATGACTGTCTTCTCAGTGTCTACTATTTCCCCGTGTCCGTTGTTAGACCAGTCACAACTCTCACTGCTACTGGAGTGCGACAATTGTTCGCAAAACGAATAACCCTGTCGGACCAATCTAGCCATTTAGAGTAACGACTGGGATCAAGTCGCCAACCACTGCTGTTGTTCTCCGCTGATTTTTGCGTTGCTAGCACAACTGACTGGGCTTGTGCATTAGCTGCTGACTTAGCTGTCTCAGTGTCAGTCTGCTTCTTCACACATCGTATTGCTGCTGAATCGAATTTGGTCGACTTCCGTGTCTCTTGGTCAACTGCAGTGCTGCTCTTCTCGGGTAGAACTGTTGCCGGCCACTCAGACTCCATCAGCTGAAGGAAACTCGGTGCTTCCCACCATTGCGAGTGTTGTGCCAGGAATTCGGCTGAGTGTCCCCGTGTCAAATGATCTGCTGGATTTTCTGCAGTGGGTACATAACGCCACTGTGATGGATGGGTGGATTCCTGAATGTACGCAACACGATTTCCCACGAAGGTCTTCAGTTTTCGACTTGCTCCACGTATCCAATGTAGGACGTCCTGGCTGTCGGTCCAGAAGACGACTGATGTGGAGTGACTGAGTGCTTTGATGATTGGTTTCACTAGGTCTACACCAGCTACTGCGGCGAGGAACTCTAATCTTGGAATGCTGGTGGCGGTGGTTGGCGC